TAGGAGCCGGCAATATTCCCACTAAAATTTATACGAAATTAATTATATCCAATACTTCGTATTACAAGTGTTTTTCAATTGCTTACCCTGGCCCGTAGTTACATGTATAAAACTTTTTATAAGGATATTGAGTCCCAGCCTCATAGTAGTATGTGTAGCCACAACCAACGTACCTGGTATCTGCCCAAACAACCTGCAAATACCAAAAATGACTTGTTGGCGCGGATTCGTTAATTGGATTCATTCTAAACATGATATTAGTTCATCTTAGATTAAGTTAATCAGGTTGAGATAAACTTAAATTAATTTAACTTCAGGTTAAGTTTTCTCCGATTAAGTTAGTCTGGGATTACCTAACGAAACGAACACAGTAACAGTCAGTCATTAGTTATACAGTGCAAAATTGCCAGATCTGTCTAACTCTAAACCAATATGTATTGTTCGAGCTTAACCTCATTTAGCCTATACAGGGTGAGTCTTAAATAAGTGCAAATATTTTCAGAGCTGGTAGACCTTGATAAAAGAAAAATATAGATTTTATTTACCGTTTTTCAAATAAGTCGAAAATAACCGAATTATTTTACTTTGAAAATTAAAAAAAATATATTTATAACAATTTCCCTGTATATTTTTCGAAAACTTTTGAGAGCTGCCTGTTAACCGCAAATTTTACCACGGTATAATTTCTTAATCTCTGATATTACCATAGTTACGGCTTTACTTTATGGTTACAGCACTAAAAGGGATGCAATTACAGAAAAAAATCCGGTGGCTCTCAAAATTTTTTCAAATAAAAAAGCAAATTTTTTTTTTAATTTTCAAACTTAAATAACTCGGTTATTTTGGACTTATCTGAAAAATGGTAAAGAGAAAATATGTTTCTTTTATCGAGATCTACCAGCCCTGAAAATATTTGCACTTATTTAAGTATACTACCTTGTATACTACCTTTTTTGACTCATCCTGTATAATAACACATTCTAGACCTTGATACTACAGAGTAAATTTAACGGCCAGTAATGTGGTCCCTAAATATCTTGAGCAATTGTAAGGCTTATCAAAGGCTTAGAGTGTGAATAAAAAAATCATCAGATATATATCAGAATCTTTGACAGAAATTTGAGAGTTGAAAACTATGAAAAACCAAACAGTCAAAATTATTAATAACTATTACAGTTGGGGGTTGGAAGCCTTGGTGTTACTTACAGCAGCCAAATAAAACACTAATTAACCACAATACACCAAAACACTTTACTTTTGCACTGTCATATATCATATAAATTATTATAATGTGTCATCAGCAGATTTTTAAAACATCTATGCTGAGATTTAATTATCTGCTGATAATTCTAACATAGTTAGCGAAATGCGCGTCTAGTGTAAAATAAAGTAAAGTGTTTTGGTGTATTGTGGTGAATTAGTATTTTATTATTTTCCAAATATCACTAAATTTGTACTTGGGTATAATGTCCGGTCTTTTCAAATCCAGCACAGCATTTATCATATTTATAAGACTTATACTCGCTAAACCATCCTGTTATTGCCGCATTCCAATCTGATGGACCTCCAGCAGCTGTTGATGAAGTTAGATATAAATTTTGTCCAACGTAAAATCGACCTAAAAAAATAAAGCATACATACTAATGATCTAAAGAAACGGCGTCCAGTTGGCTTTGAAATGAAGATCAATAATATTCCCTAAATAATTTTACTTATAAAATGACAGCGATCTTCATTTCATAGCTAATGCGCGATTTTTGTTTTCATTCATTCTGTATTTTCTACTAAACTACACTCAGTTCACAAAAAAAACACTATAACAGATATCTCGACTTTTCATGATACATAAATCTTTTGTATCTAATATTCTAGATTATTAAATTATTAAAATAATAAAATATACATACTGTCTTTTACAGCAACATGTTGAAAAACCATGGTATTTGATATTTTCTGGGCTTCCTCGGCAAGTTTGCTGTCATAACTCTAGAAAATTATGATACTTCTGTCATTTTCATTCAGTAACTTTTATCACCGTGATAAAAAATATCGTAAAAAGTAAAAAAAGCAATAAAACAGCACGTATTTTATAGAAAGAAATTTGGGACAGCATATTTTTGTCCTTAATTAATTATAAGTAGGCAAGAATCAACCTATATCTGCGCTGTAAATGTTCAGGGTGTTTCAAAAAGCAGGTGCCATGTACCATCTCGAAAAAAAGTTCCTCGTTTCGTAACTACAGGGTGTTAAAGTCTTAAATTTTTTTCGACTTACTATAATTTTCTTCCAAGTGCTTTTAGCTATTCCAATAAAATTTTGAGGATAAAAGTTACTATAAGTGCAACATAGTTTAATGCTTAAGAAGTGTCAACATATTCTGTGCATATAGGTTTATCATCTGAACTATTTCTAAAAAAAACATGTGCGCTACAAACTTTTTCTTCGAGATGGCAGATGTTTTTTGAAACACCCTGTATATTTAAGTACTAAATTTCATACTAAAGAAATATTTTTGCAGGCTTTTATGTCTATATCGAATTTAATAAAACTACCGAATTAATCATAATTAATTATAAAATTAATAAAAATAATAATTAAATATTAATTATAAATTTTAGAAATTCATACAAAACGGCGAAGATTGATTCCTTTCGGCTGACCAGGAACAGAACCGCTGGCTATTTGTTGTCTGAAATTGTTGTGAATATTTACAATTGCGTTCTGTTCAGATTGTGACACACCAGATCCTACAATTAGAAACAATATATTTTATAAACAATTGTTTTATGTTTTGAGGGAAGTTTACCAAGTATAGTTCCAGCTCCTGAACCTAATTGAAAATACACAGCCATCAGAATTATAGAAATCCACATAATTTGGCTCATTTTCAAAGCAACTAAAAATACTGATTTAAAGTGGGATAGATATACAGGGTGGTCCGAACTGTATTCTGGAAACTTCGGCAGCATATTCTGCAGATAAAAATAAGTAAAAAAGTTCGTATAAATGTATGTCCGAAAATGCTTAGTTTCGGAGATACAAAGTGTAGAAGTTTTATTTTTATTTCGATTTTTTCTAAATAGTTTCTGAATTAACGTCAATATTTGGATGAAAATTGGTGTCTAGGAGTTTTATGCGTGAGAAATTTGATTTTGATGTCTATATGACTTCTATTTGTAGGGGGCGCCACCTACATATGTTTTAACTGCTTTGATAAGTAATAACTTTTCGTCCGTACCTGTATAAAACTACTGAGTGAAAAATTAACACTTCCGTGATTTTTTACGTAAAAAATGTCTCTTGGTAAAAATCGCTACGAGCAACCGTTTTCAAGATATTTAGAATGGAAGTAATCACTCCATGTCATTATACTGACAAAAAAATAAAAATGTTGAGTAGATAGTAATTTGACTAAAATGATAAATTTGTGAAATTTTATTTTTTTTTAAATTAATCATAAATTTTTCTTCAAAAAAATGATGAGAAAACAGTTTCTGTTGAACTTTTGGTCAAAAACATTTCAAATTTATGATTTTAGTGTAATAAAACTATCTCATCAACATGTTTAATTTAACTCAATGATGACAGGTATTGATAATGTCGATTCAAAATATCTCGAGAACCGTTACTCGTAGCGATTTTTACCAAGAGACATTTTTTGCGTAAAAAATGTCGTAAATATATAATTTTTTACTCAGTAGTTTTATACAGGTACGTACGAAAAGATATCACTCTTCAAACCAGTTAAAAAATATGTAGGTGGCGCCCTCTACAAGTAGGAGTCATATTGACATCAAAATCACAATCAATATTTTCATGTCAAAAAACTCCAGACACCAATTTTCATCCAAATGTTGACGTTACTTCAGAAATTATTGAAATATATCGCGCGAAATAAAAATGAAACTTCTACACCCTGTATCTCCGAAACTAAGCATTTTAGGACATACATTTATACGATCTTATACGATATACTTTTTTAGTTATTTTTATCTGTATAATATGCTGCCGAGGTTTCCGGAATACAGTTCGGACCACCCTGTATAGTTATTAGAGTTTATATACAATTATTAAATACACAGTTAAAAAAATTGAATGCATTCACAAGAAAAACGTTTTTTATTTGTTACAAATTACAAATTGTTACAAAGATAAGATCTTCAACTTGAAATAATTTGTTAATTAAAAATATGTTTTTAAAGATAAACGTAACATCTTTTGTTTATATTTTAATGATATAATTTTATTAATTCCTGATTTCTAATTTTGTAAAAAAACAACAACTAATAATAACGACTTTAAAACAAATAAATAATTTAAATACTTACTCGTCAAAATTTCTTGATTACTTACTCAAAATGGTTACTCAAAACTTTATTCTTAACTTATTCTGTTATTTTGGTTCTAATCTTTTTTAGTTTATTCAGTCCATAGTAATTTTGATGGTCTATACTACACAGTTGTTAACAAATTTATTATCTAATACAGAAAATGTATATG